CTACCTCGACTGTCCATGATTATGATATAAGTGTGGTCCAGTGACTGGAATTATGGTGATTTTTCAAAAATGCCGGTGTCAAAATTTTGCCTCGACAGTATATCTGTAACTACTAATAACGCTGTTTTGGGCTGACTCAGTTGCTTTGAAATTGCACGGGCTCTGTTATGAGTAAATGAGAGGCAACCAATTATCTATAAAATAAAGGCATGCACAGAGGAGAGTTTGATGAATTACAGATGAGCTCTGCTGACACAACAGGGTGTGGAAACCTGCCCCACTCTGACTTTCTATCCGAGTTATGGGCCATGCTTGCATACTTTACAAACAACTTAGCCCACACCATTCTAACATGGAGCAGGAGAGGGGACAGGAAGATAGTAAAACCTCCCCTCACTAGGACACAAGTCATTGGTTTAAAATTAAGTAGGAAACTCAACGTGGGTGTGTGGAGGCAGCAACCCCAAGTGTTAAATACGCACATGAAGAATTACTATGCTCCAGGAAAGATGCTCACATAAGGGATATACAGATGCAGAGTCCTCTGATGGGATTCAGAGCAGAGACTAAAAGAGCCATCGCAAAGCTGCATCCTAGAGCTCAGCCTGGCTTGTGTAAAGCCAAGGCATAAATTCACCGAAGCAGAAGGCAGATGTTGAATTCCTGGAACCAAAGGATTTCCACCTCATCAGGGGTCTGTCCAGTGGAGGGAGCATCATTCAGCAACCCTTAGACTGTGGTCTCTGCCTATGCCTGGTGAAGGCAATGCCTGTTTTCCACTATTGCTTAAGAACTGCAATTCAAAGTCATTTTCTACTCAAGAAAGGATATAGGAAGTAGTCAGAGTACCAAAACATCCTGCAGGGTTATGTGGGAAGATCAAGAGAATTCTATACAACGAAGCGGGTTGATGCCCTGGTGGCTTCAAGAGGCTGAGAAAACAGTGCATAGTTTTGGGATGTTTGTCTCTGTGGTCCTATGGCAGTCCTATGCTGAGGATTAATGTGGGTTTATACATGAAGAAGATACAGAACAGGGGTTTCTGCTTACTGACAGGTTGCTAGGTATTTCTACACTGAACATTCAGCAGAGAGCAGGGTTTTTTGTCTATTATAGGCCATTTCCCACATTGGGCATCTCTGGGTATAGGTTTCCACATTCTTTAACACACTGGTTTTTAAGGTAGGCTAATGGCAAAGTGTTGAGGCCAAGCCCTGTGAGTTCACCTCCCAGGAGAAGCAGTGATTTCAAACGGATCCAATCAGCCTAGATGAGGGGCCTAATGTGGGGCTTCCTGCCCGGTGTCCTCTAGCCAGGTACATGAGACTGGCCTCTTACCCCTGGGGAAGCCAACTCTGGTTCCCTTGGGTGACTTATCTTCTCCACATTCCTGGTAAGAGGCTTACTGGCTTAGGGGGTTGCCACAGGCCAGGAGCCCGCTTGCTCTGGGTTTGAATTCTGATGGCCACTGCTGTTTTCCAAAGATGAGAATCATTTGTTTAAGATAATTTTAGGTGACCTTCATTGAACCTTGCTTAACTTACTTTCAATACTTTTAAATAGGTCACATAGAGAGTCCCAGTCTGGTGCAGGACTGGAATGCCTCTGTAACGGTGGCTAGCCTCTCTTTTTAACAAAGAGAGAATGAATCTCAGCCCCAACTGGTGTAGGCAAGACACCACGCTGGAATTCATTAGCATTGTTTTTCTTTCGTCTTCGTTTGTATGCTTGACTTCTAGTACAGGTAATACTCATTTTTCATTGAGGTTAGGGTATGAAGTTTAAAAGTGAATCAGGTGAATAAGGAGCACACAATACCCTGGTGGGAAACAAAGATGAAAAAAAAAAAGCCTGAGGAGATGGGAATGAGAGCGATTTGGGAAACACTGTATTTGCCCAAGGTCATATTACTTGGTCATAGGATGTAATAAAGAGGGCAGGCAGCCAAGGGAGGCATTTGGCTGGTGTTGGAACAACTTACAAGGAGGGCAAAGTCAGTTCATGCAAATTCAGCCCCGTTTGGGTTCCCGCTGCCCGGCTGCGGTGTGGCTGGGGCGCCGGATGCCGGAGTAGGTGGCATGAACAAGGCTGGCAGGGGAAGTGCAGCAGGGAAGAGAGGGGAAAGTGCTTCAAGGTGGAATCAGGCAGGCAACCAGAGCAGATTAAGAGGCTAAAGAGAACATTCGAAGGGCGCGAGGGGAGTTGGGGGAGAGTGGCAGAGCTGGCTGGGCAGTGGAGCTCTTTCAACAAAGACGGGCTGTTCAGACACTAAGAGAGTGGGGTGAGGGGCAGAGGGAGAACCAGGTTCTCACTGTGCAGGGAGCCTGATGTGGGGTCCAGTCCCAGGACTCTGGGATTATGACCTGAGCCAAAGGCAGGCACTTAACTGACTGAGCCACCCAGGCGCCCCAGGACAGCTGTATTTATTTGATGAAATTTTAGAAGTACTGTAAACCCCTAACACTGTATAAACATTTTGTGTAGATGAATTTTGAAAAGGAAGGAGAGAGCAGTGTCAAAAAACCAGGAAGACCAACTTATTGATCATGTTTCCAGGAATGAATATTCCTTTTCCCCTTTGTCTCTAAAGGGAAGTATATATAGCCCCTTTAAAGATTTATTGACTGATTTTTAGAGAGGGGCAGGGAAAGGGGCTGAGAGAGAGGGACAGAGAGTCCCAAACAAACTCCTCCCTGAGTACTGAGCCCGACACACAGGGCTGACCTGAGATAAGGACCTGAGCCGAAACCAAGATTCAGACACTTAACTGACTGTCCTACCCAGGCACCCCTATAGTAGTCCCTTTATCCTACAGAAAATGAGGATGCTCTTGGTGAAATCCTAGAACCCTATGTCTAAGTCCCTAGCCTCCGAGGTACTAGCTGTGTGATCTGGCAACCCACGTCATCCCTCCTTTTCTCCATTCCCACATTTGACTGCTGAGAACATTGACGGTGATTCGTTTGGTCTATAACCAAAGATCTGTAAAGACAGGTCTTAATGTTAATAATCTAAAAACCCACAGGCACTATGGCAACAGTTTTTACAGGAAGTTAGGATGACTATCTTTCTGGCAAGTTTTACAAGGCAGGTTGATTCACCTGGAGGATAGGAGATTTGGGGCCTCAAGGCAGGACAGAAGCAAAAACTGAGAAAGCAAAGCATACAGGAAACTTGGGTACTAAGTTTAAATCCTCTTAAAACATCTAGCAAATGCATCCTAACGCAGAATCCTATATTTCAGCAAGCCTCAGGAAAAGCCTAGAGCTTTCTCGCCTCTATCTGAAAGTACCCATTATGTAAGAAACCCAGGGTGGGGGGGTGGGCAAGGAGCCTTATAAGTTGAGTCTGAAGAAGAGTGATTCCATTTGAATGGGACATTCCAATATGAAACACTGGCTTTCGTGAGAGGAGTAGAAAGAGGTCTGAGGCTATGCCTGTGGGTCTTTGTTCTTAGGCAGACTAGCTTGATCCAGAGCAAGTAAGGAGGGAGGGAGTAAGGAAGAAATGAGAAGGTGAACAGTGAAAAAGGTTCAGAATAAATGATCAAAGACAGCTTCTGCTAGCACTACACTGTATCCCTTCAGGCAAATGGATACAGAACTGACAAATCAATGACATCCTCTGATTTCATTCTCCAGCGAAATAAGTATTCTAGAATGCAAGTGCCTGAATGCTATGACATCCTCAAACAATAATGGGTGAAAGGCCATTGATAGTGGGTCTTTAAGTAATTAGGATACTTTAAAAAGGAGGGTGGGGAGAAAATGCCCAAGAAATGCATGTATATTAAAAACTATCTAAAAAAGATGTCTATTTCAAAGTGAAAACAGAATACTATGAAGGTGTTTCCTACCTAAAAATCATGATCACTAAGTGGTGGATACAATTTTATATAATTCAATTGCTACCAATATTCACCAACTGTGTTTTTAATTTGTGTCTAATCTACTTTAGCAGCTTATAATATAAACACAAGACTGCATGAAGCAGCCTATTTCAAAAAGAAACTATTCAGGGGAAAAGTGCTTAATCCAAGGTCCATGGGAGGAGGTTTATTAACAGGGCTGACAGATAAAATGCAGGCTACATGGTACTTTTTAGCCTAGGGATGCCCCGATATTTCATGGTAACCCCATTTATTAGTATATTTCAGAAGATCCATGAGGCCCTGGACAACACATAAAAATTTGGTATATATACATATTTTGAAGAAGGAGACTGGCTATAGCCTTCTACCAGAATCTTAAATCTGTGATCTCCCAACAGTTAAACATTCAGTAATGCAAAGAAATAATTCTATCATGTCTGACCTTTCCCTGTGACCTTGAGCTTCCCAGCAGCCAAAACTAAAGGGAAACATAAACCCAGGGTGTCTGGGTGGCTCCGTCTGTTGAGCATCTAACTCTTGATTTTGGCTCAGGTCACAATCCCAGGGTGGTGAGATCGCGCCTTGTGTCAGGCTCAGTTGCAGAGTCTGCTTGAGATTCTCTCTGCCCCTCCCCTCTCCTCTCTAAAATAAATAAATAAATCTTAAAAAAAAAAAAAAAAAAAGACCATTTAGCTGAGGAGAAGAAATCCAAGTGGAAGAAAGATCTAGTCAGGAGGTTGTGAGCTGGCTTACAGCACTGTGAAGCCTAAGGAGGGAATCTGAGATGTGAGCTCTCGAAGGGTTTGGGCTTTTTAAATGATCAGGTTTGCACTGCAAACTCTTTTGGCCTGCTTGGTGAGGTTGGTTTGCAGAAGGGCAGGACAGTGACTTGAGGTAGACTGGAAGGAAGGCAGCAGATAGGAGAGTCCCCCGTAGAAGGTGGCAGGCAGGCAGGGAGGCAAAGGAAACCCAGAGGTAGGAATCCATGCCTTGAGGGTCAGGGTTTTCTGCACTCTGGCTTTCATGTCTTTGAACCCCCCTGCGCCTGCTTGTCTGTACCCATCCTGGGCAGGGAGCCTCCTTCTAGGGCCCCATGGAGGGTGTGAGTGATGAAATGCCCAGTGTTTACCTGCACAGTCACTGAAAGTAGGCCCGCAGGGTTGCGGCTTCTGCTGCCATTTCCTCCTCAGACCTCCACAAGGTTGGGGCGTCCTCCTCTTCTTTGTCATGTTTCTGGAGCTTTGGAGGAAACAATGGAATCAGCTCATGAATGGGTCCTCCGGAACTCAGAACAAGTGTTGTGGGCTGAACACAATTGTGCAAATCAGAGGCTGGAAGGTTGTGTGTCTTTTCATTGCACTAGTTGCCCACATTTGAAAATAGGGAAGTAAGAATCCTCATTTCCAGCTTTTGTGACCAAATAACCAGATTAGGCTAGCCTGTGGTCCCTTCCATGCCTTGTCTTATCTGCGGAGGTGGCGAGTGGGGGTCACAGAGGGGAGCACCCTCCCATGTTCCATAACCCCCACCACTCTCTAGTCTTAGGCTCAGCTGGCATCGCTCATTTATTTTACTCACTGACATTGAAGACAGGGAGTTGGCCCCCTACCCATGATCATTCCCCTAAGCTGGCCTGCAGTTTACCTACTAGACATTTTGTTCAGTGAACCAAAATAGCCCAAGCAAATCATGATAATATTACAGGAGCCATGAGTACTGAGTGAGAAATAAGAGCATATTCATTAAAAGAGTCTTAAGGAGGCAAACAGCTTAAAAAAAAAAAAAAAGAAAACATCAAAAAATTAACAATTGATCTAACTCAAATCATTTTAAAATCCTCTTCAAACACCTGCATTTATTTTTTAAGACACCTTGTATATGTCTCAGATTTACAGAGAAAGTACATAAAATTTCAGTTCTATCAGAGAGATGTTCTCAGAACTTTTCATTGGAAGAGCTCAATTTCTCCCCTTCATCTCCTATTGCAATTCAGTTTTATTAACTAGATTTGTTATTCCTGTGTGGGGCTTTATCCGTTGTAAAACGCTAAAGGTATAAATTCCTAGGATGCACAGTGTAGTATTTTGTAAGTCATTTGAAGAGATTGAGGTAAATGATTTAACGGCACCAATGATGGCTGGTATTTAGGATATGAACTGGTAGTTTCTTTGATGTGTATCATTTCATTTAATCTGTACCATCATCTATACATAAGGCAGGGACTACTTAGCTCCATCTTACCAAGGAAGAAATGGAGATCTGAGGAAGTTCCTTTGCTTGTTGAACTTCTCACCCAGCTAGGCAGTGACGGAGTTGTTCACTATAATTTTCGCCATTTTCTCTATTCCGGAGGAACTGCCAGGCCACCAAAGAGTGGCCAGCTCTGCCTGCCAAGTGCATACCCCCACAAAAGGCAGATCCTTTGAAAAGTATCTTGCTGCCTCAGCAAAAAGTCTCTCCACTGCTATAATGGAATTTCCTATCTCAGGCCCAAATCACTGTATATCTAATGCAGAGACACCCCATACCCTCTCTCCCCCACCCTGAACCATGTGGCCCCTTGCAGCAGATAGGGAAATTTCCCCCCGTAGTTCAGAGCAAACTTTGCTGCACAAGGGAAAACAGTGAAGGAATGATAGCCCAGCTCTCCAGCTGAGCTGTATTTCCACTTGGGGTAAGTCTGAGCCTAAATGAGGTTCATTAGCATATGACTGGGCCACAAGTATGTTGATGAGGGTCATGGATCTTCCGTTCAGAATATGGCTGCCAGCACTCTAGTTTTACATTTTGCCACATAGATTTAATTCTCCTTAGTGGAAGAAAACCACATTAAGAAGTCATTTCCTTCCTTGCAGAGGCAGATATGACGCAATTGCTACGGGCGAGGCAAACGGGATTGCTATTTTTCTACTCGAGAACTAATTTTCATTTTGATACTAGCTTTAGGTCTGTTATAAATCCCTCTTGTAACAATCCAATAGGATGACAAAGAACAATATATACAGCCTGGAAAAGATGGCCTCCCCACTTCTGGTGCTGCCATCGAAAAGACCCAGAAATCAAACATTAAGTGGCTTCATCACCACAGATCATACCAGATGAATCCAAATAATTTAGAGCCTGTGAGCGCTAATGCCTCCCTGGTTATTAGGCGACCGTCTGTTTTTGTCATATGCCTTACAGATGGCAACGTTGTGCCCACACTTCCAAGTTGTTTATGCGAGGTAGGGAATAAATAAAACAAAAACTAATCCTATTTGCAAAGCTCTGTTGTATATGGCTTTTAAAACTTAGAGGTTTCCCTCCGAAAACTCCCAGATGGAAGCATGTGGCTTTCTTTAGGACAGCCATGTTCAGTGCTAGCTGCCCACTGGCATTCCCTAGCGAACTCAAGAAACTGCTATTGCCCAGGTGCACACAGGGGATCTGCTTTAATTTGTCTGGACACGGCCCGAATTTGGGGATTTTTTTTTTTTTTCAAACTTCTCAGCTCATTCTAAGGTGCACTTACTGTTGAGAAGCCCCGCCCTTGGGAGAAACGTGTATGTGGACAGACAGAACCCGTGTACCTGAGAAATAATACATCTGCCTTCGAGCCCAGTGCTTTTTGTCCTGTCCACAGAGTAGAGGCTTTCCTTGGAAACCCTGCTCCAGAACTGTCTTTGTTTCTATTCTCATTCTGTCAAAGAGTGTCTGGGCCACGGGGCTTGTCCCAGCAACACTAGGATGCTGATCTGGTTCAGGAGACTTTGAGTAAATTTTCAGACTCAGCAGAAATAGGGAGCCCAGGAAAGATCCTGGTGAATAAGACTTGTGCCTCAGAAGAGCCACCCAGGTGACCTGGAAATTAAACATGCTGTAGTTTGGAGTGAATTTCTGTTTCTCTGAGGCAACCCAAGAACCTGGACAGTACAAGCATTGCAGACTGGCAGAGATCAACTCTAATGACCTCCAATGGCTGTTCATCCAGAAGGTACTAAATGCCTTGAGGAAGCTTTAATGCCGGGGGCCGGGGTGGGGAGCGTTCAATTCAGATGAACCCTCCAGATTAATTTAGGCTGCCCACGGGAAAAGGCAGTGACTACTTCTTCATGCACACGGTATTTATTCTGTGTCTGCAATGCTAGGGGCTGACCTTGGCATTAGAACACTGAAACAGACCCCATTATTGTCTTCAGGGGGTCCCCAGATAGGGAGAATAGACACCAAATGGTTAATTATCAATGAGAGGGGCATTTCCAAGTGGGAGGGCAGCTGCTGGGAAGGCACGGCCCAGTCTGAAAGGCTTTTGAGAGTCAGCTGAGTTTGAAAAAGAAACAGAGTGCTATAATAAAGAGTGATGGGGGTTCTAAGGAACATCCAGCAACTTCTCTCCAAGAAGAGGAGGTTAGGCCCACCATTGACAATGAGAGGGGCAAGATCCTTTAACCTCTTTGTGCCTCAGTTTTACCTTCTGTAAAAAGGAGTAGTAAGAGTTGTGAGCAGTGATGTGCTGGGCACATAGTAGTAGTCACAGCAATAGCAAACAACTATTCTTAGGCTATGTAGGCTGTCCCATGACAGTGATCACTGACCAACGCAGAGACCTTATGGCCAGGAGCAAAAGTGTTTTTCCTATCTTCATGGTTCCCCAATGATATGTGTCTTTTTGACCTTAAATATCCTGTAAAAGGATTAAGAGCTATGGTCAAAATTCAGGCCCATACCAAAGAACCTACTGACACATTTAAACCTGAGGAGGAAATTTAGCTCCTTCAGATATAAAATGACTTAGAATAATCCCTAACTCTCAGGGTTGTCATAAGGAATGGATAAGGTATTAATGGAGGCTCCTCAGAGGTAAAGGTCATGGTCCTAGAGTAAAAAGCATGTGGTAATGGTCAAATGCAGTCAAATTACCTTGGGGGCAGGCCCCCAGAGTCAGCGAACAAAAATACTAAAACAAATGAAATGAGTGTCCTGTATATCTCATCCAGTATTTGGGACATACTGTTACTGGTAAGTATTATTTGTTTATCTGAAATTCAGACTTAACTAGACTTCTTCCTGTATTTTATCTGGTAACTCGGTCCAGGAGACCCCTTTGTAAAAGACCACAGGAAGTAATTGGCTCACTTTTAGGTTGTTCCTAAACCTGCCGAGCTGTGAATCCTGGAAAAGATGCAAGCTATCCGAAGGACGAACAAACTCAACGCGAGCATTGGGTGCGCTCTAAGGCTTATTATTGCAAGAAATGAAGAGTAAATCACCAGCTCCCTTTAAATCTCATAGATCTTTGGTTCTCAGGCACGCACTTTTTCACATTTTCACATCTCTGAAATCAAAGTGTGTTCCACAATCAATGGTGTGTCATCATTTAATTGGCAGTGTTTTTCTCTGTTAGTAGTACATCAAAGAACAGTGCTCCTTCCAGGTGACTGTCTGGGATTCAACACACTGCAGTGCTCTGTCTTTCCTCCTGATAATTACATCACGTAAGTTAAATGGTCATGAAAATGCTTAGCACTCCAGCACATCGCTCTCCTTCTCTCCATGCAACAGGGAAGTTGTTGAACAGATGACATTGTTTTCACAGGCACTTGGTTCTTTAGAGGAAAAGTGCTCACCTAAGTTACAAAGTTTGCAAAAATTTGAACCAAAAAGTCTTTATTCACATTCAACAGAGTGAAGTCTGTGATGGCTCCTGGAAGAGCATTCTATTTCTATATAGCTGTGAAAAGAGATTAAAAAAAATGTATCTGCAGTCATTCCACTTTATCTGCCTGAAATGGTTTTGGGGAAGGTAGTGTTAACAGGATTTCTGACTGAAGTACTGATAGGTATCAATGGTGACATTCTGCTCCTTCCCAGGCATTGAGCATGCTATCGGGAGGTATGTGGGGTAAAGATTAATTCCCTGATATAATGCTCAAACTGCCTTGGCTATTGACTTTTTTTATAGCTCTGTAATGGAATACAGTGGGAAGAATGATGTACCATAATTTAAATGTTTTTCAGAACTCAGAACTAACCTGTAGTAAAATGCAAAATTGTCTTCAGTGGGTAGGGTATGGGGGGAGGAACAATTTAATACCACTTCTTAAAGAAGCAAGTGGCTGCATATAAACTTGGGTGTTGTTATAAAGTACATTAATATATTTCATTGTTATTAGTTTTGTAAAACAACAAAGAGCAGAAAGCTTAAACTATTGCTTATGGGTTGATGGCTCTGTTCAGACAGGTGTTTATATAAAGTCTTG